ATCAAATTTAACCTACAAAAAAAAAAAAAGAAACAAAAGTTAGTTAATGAAATATAAACATAAAAATAAAAATAAACCAATACAAAAATACAACAAAAAATTTTAAAAAATACATATGAGAAAACAGAAAAAAAAGAAAAAAAAAAAGGAAAGAAAGGATGAAGAAGTGGAGAGAAAAAAGAGAGGAAAGAAAAGGAAATAGAAGGAAATGAGAAAGAAAAGGGAAGAGAGAAAAGAAGAGAGGAAATGACAAATAAAAGGAAGTAGAAAAAAAAAGTAAGAAAAAGAAGAAGGAGACGAGAGACAGAAGAGAAAAGAAAGAGAGGAAGAAAGGAAAAGAAAGAGAGGAAGAAGAGAAAATGAGGAAAAGGAAGAGAAGTGGTGATATATATAAGGCTTATACGGACCGTTTTCGGTCCGTATAATTTTTATTGGCGGGCCGCACCAAAAACTTTCAATTTTTTCGGGAAAATTTTTGGCGCATTAATAATATTCAAACCGAAATCGGTCTGAATATAAATAAATTAGCGCAGAATAAAAAAGATTCAAATTTACGTTAAAAATCTGGCGCATAAATTAATTACGGACCAATTTCAGTCCGAATATATTCGGAAAAAATTCCCGGGCCACCAAAACCTTTCAATTTTTTCGGGAAATTTTTGACGCATTAATAATATTCAGACCAAAATCGGTCTGAATATAAATAAATTAGCGCAGAATCGGAGAGATTCAAATTTACGGTAAAAATTTGACGCATAAATTAATTACGGATCGATGTCGGTCCGTATATGTATTTAGAATACAAGGGATCACATTAATATATTCGACCAATTTTGGTCCGAATATATTGGGAAAAAATTCACACAGCACATTTTCATTCTTTTCATTTAAGGACATTACCATTTTCTCGTGTCCTCAATCCATATATACGGACCGGTATCGATCTAAATATAGACAATCCGAGGGATTTTTCATCCTAAAGTTAAATTAAATTAAGTATGAATATATATACGGATCGGTTTTGGTCTGAATATATGCAAAGAATCCAGAAGTTTCCATGCTTTTCATTTTTCAGACCGATTTTGGTCCGAATATACTAGAAAAAATCCAGAAACTTCTCCCAGTTCACATTTTTATTCTTTTCATTTAAGGACATTACCATCTTCTCGTGTCCTAAATTCATTCCTGTGAAAACCAATTGCATGTACATCAACCCTACAGTCCCTTGGAACCACAAAACCATCGATTGTCTACTTAAAATTATCTTACGATAGTACGGAGTAATATCGTTGCAAAACCACGAACGTATAAGTTCAAGGCTATTAGAGATAATGTTACGTAATGGTCTTTCGGAGCCATAAGCAAATAAAATTAATTTTTTTTATTTAAGTTAACCACTTTTGCTTACAAACATTCGGAATGTTATGGTTTAAAACGAGAGTAGAACGAGTTAAGCATGAAATAACAAAAAAAATAAAAAGCTGTTGTTAAGGGTCATATACGGACCGGGATCAGTCCGTATATATCATTTAAAATAAA